CACGACTGACCCTTCACGACTGACTGCATTCCGAGGTGCGGCGCGCGGGGAACAGGACGGCGGTTACAAGCTTCTAGGTTAGGCAACCTGTCTGGTCGTCTCGCCAGTAGCGGCGCGGCGGGGTGACGCTAGTACGCGTTCCAACACTTCCCCTCGAGACGTAGCAGACACAGGTTCTGGTCCGTCGTCTGTAATCCCAAAAGTTCCATGCACTTCCGATGTTTTGTCCTCGACAACCCCTTCGTCAATACGTCTGCGGCCATTTCAGAAGATGGAGTATGCTTCAACTTAAACTTCTTCTGTTCCAAGGCCTCCCGCACAAAATGGTAACGTATGTCGATGTGCTTACTTCTGGAATGATATCTTGGGTTCTCGGCCAATTTTATAGCACTCATATTGTCGCTATACAGGGTTACGTTAGCGAGTCTTTCGAACCCAAGTTTGGTCATGAACTTGCCCAAGTAGATTGCTTCCTTGGCAGCTTCGGTGGTACCCATATATTCCGCCTCGGTGGTAGACAATGCCACTGTGGCTTGCTTCTTCGATTTCCACGATACGGGTCCGCCTGATAGGATGAATGAGAATCCGGTATACGAATGCCTATCGTCAGGGCAGTTTGCCCAATCAGCATCAACGAATCCTCTCAGATTCATGTCTTCTCGTTGGTATACTATCGAGTGATCGATGGTGCCCTTCAGGTACCTAAGTACTCGCTTTGCGGCTGTCCAGTGTTCCTTAGTGTAAACGTTGTTGAACTGTCCTAAGTAGCTTACGGCAAAGCTAATATCGGGTCTCGTTCCCAACGATAGATAGGTTAGCGCACCTATAAGCTCCTATAAGGTAACTTCAGCTCTTCACTAGATGGGCTCTCCGTCGGTTTCCTTAACTTCGTTCCTGGATCAAGTGGAGTGCTTACAGTGTCGTATCCGCCATGTTGAATCGATCTAGTATTTCCAAGATATATGCTCTCTGGCTTAGACTTATCTTGTTTTTCTTTAGTGAAAATTCCATCCCTAGGCAATGATTAACTGATCCCAGATCTTTCATTTCAAATCTTTCAGATAATTTGGCTTTTAGGGACGATATTGCCTTTTTGTCACGTGATGCGATAATCAGATCGTCTACATAAGTGACAATTATAATGTCTTTCCCTGTTTTACTAGTGAATACACATGGGTCGGACTTAGTTGGATTTGCACCACATTCACTAAGTGTCTGGCTTAGTTTCTGATACCAGCTCCGACCGGCTTGCTTCAGGCCGTATAGTGACTTCCTAAGTAGACATACTTTATCACCTTTTCCCAGTGTGTTCAAGGTATCTCGAGCCTTCTTTCTGGTAGCCTCGTTGTATTTGGAGTTATCACAAATAATCTTCAATGATTCATCCAAATATTCGGGGGTTTCCATGTAAATCGTCTCATCTAGACTTCCATTTAAGTATGCGCAGGTAACATCCAGTTGCTGCATGTCCATATTTAAATGTGCTGCTAGGGCAGATACAAGTCTTATGGAGCTAAGCCTTGCTACAGGGGCAAAAGTCTCGTTGAAATGTGTTCCGGGCTTTTGGCTAAATCCCCGAGCGACTAGTCTTGCCTTCCTCCTTTCGATAGTTCCATCAGGCTTGTACTTGTTTCTCAGGACAATACGGCTTCCAACGATGTGCTGGTTACATGGTCGGTCGATTAATTCCCAAGTACCATTCTTCAAGATAGATGCCACTTCGTCTGCCATCGCCTTGTGCCATTCGTCAGCGTCCTCGCCTCTGACTGCCTGATGCATCGGGACCTCGGACAGTAATACCTCTTCAGAAGAGAGTGCTGAACCTCTCGGGGGTGTCCTGTACCTGTATATCTTTCTAGGTCTTCCCCTCGAACCAGTTCGCCGAATTCTGGGTCTCCCGCGGGCACGCCTGGGTGGCTCAGAATCGTGATCAACCTCGGGCTCTTCTTGTTCCGTTGTAGGAGATTCATGTTTTGGATTTTCGTTCTCGACAACTGGGGATAGCTGTACCGCGATAGTATGCATCTCAGATTCATTCTCCTTGGATGATTCTTCCAGAATAAAATCTGTCCATTCTTGGCTTATGACTCTCTGCGTTTCCCAAGAACTTAACATCCCTCGTGACTACGAATTTATTCTCCTTCTCTTCGGCAACCAGACCTTGTATCCTTTCGTTTGTTCCGAATACCCTATGAAAATTCCTTCCTTACATCTTGCGTCTAGCTTCCCCTTGGCCTGATCTTGGTTTAGACAGAAGACCTTGCAACCAAAATCTCTGAGATGCGAAACGTCGGGAGTCTTTCCAGTCCACTTTTCGTATGGTGTTAACCCGTTCAGACTTTTGGATGGACATCTGTTCCGCAAATAGTTGGCCGTGTTGATGGCTTCAGCCCAAAAGATCGGAGGTAAGCCGGACTGCATGATTAGACAACGTGCTGTATCCAAGAGAGTGCGGTTCTTCCTCTCCGCTATACCGTTCTGTTCCGGAGTGTATGGGCAAGTCAAGCGACGTGAAATTCCGTGCTTTTTCAGGAGATCCTCCATTTCCTTACATGTGTACTCCGTCCCGTTGTCAGATTGGATGCACTTTATCTTTTTGTTCTTTTGGTTTTCGACCAGTGTAATATATTCCTGAGTCTTTCGCACAACTTCATTTTTATGTTTCATGAAGAATACCGTGCAATACCTAGAATAATCATCTATGAATTCGACAAAATATTTGTACTTCGAGTGAGATTCTACTCGCATGGGACCGCAAACATCAGTATGTACGATTTCTAGCATTTCCGATTCCCTGTCGGACTTCTTCGGGAATGGTGAACGCGTCATTTTTCCGCGTATGCAAATTTCGCAATTAAGTTCCCCATTATTAGGCATATTTTCAATATTTACTCCACCTAATCTTCCTTTCTTCAATGAAGAATTCAAATCCTGAAAGTTCAAATGTCCTAATCTACGATGCCATAGTTTGACATTTTTAGAATTCATGGTCGAAATGAAAGCTGATTTATTCTGCGCTTCGCCTTCTCGCGCGTAGTATAAATCGCCACTACGATCGGCTACAACTTTTATATCACCATTACTATCAAGATTTTCTTTCTTGAATAAAACTTCAAATCCTTTATCGGTAATCTTTGCAACAGAAAGTAAGTTTACTCTTAGGTCGGGAACATGAAAAGCTTTATGGAGTGAGATGTTTTTCGTGTCGCCAAAAACGTCAGCAACAAACGTGGCTGTTCCGGAACCTGTAATGTCCGTAAATTCACTATTTGCTAAATTCAAATGATCATGTCTACGTTCAAGGTCAGAAAAACAACTAATGTCTTTACATAAGTGAGACGTTGCGCCACTGTCTAGACACCATTTCAGTCTTTTGTGATTCTGTTCAACATGATAACATTCCGCGGTAACGAGTCCCACGTGTTCGGAACAGTTCGCTTCACTTTGTAAGAATTGGCAACAGTCTTACCTTTGTCTGGACATTCAGCGGCCTTGTGGCCTACTTTTCGGCATCTGTGACACTTATACCTGAACGTTCTTCTGCCTTCCGAGACGCCGCTGCCTCGTGCACCTTCCGAGACGCCGCTGCCTCGTGTACCTTCCGAGACGCCACTGCCCCGTCCGCCATTTCCTGCGTGACCGTGATTTTTCCCATAATTCCGCTTCACGAACATGGCGCCTTCCGTTTCTCGAACGTCGCCTTTCCGCGCAGTATACTCTTCTATAATTTTTATTCGAAGAATTTCCGGGGATGGTAATTCGTCTCTAGACTCAATTGCACACCTGAAGTTTTCAAAACTGGCTGGCAGGCTATACAATAGCATTATCGCTAATAGATCTGCATTGATTTCTACATCCATGTCATTTAACTTGTCAACTGCATCGAAAAATGAGTTTAAATGACATCGTATGTCCTGTCCCTCTTCCATACGTTGCAGTGTAAGCTGTTTGAGCAATGTGGCCTTTCTAGCGGGTCCTTTTGATTGGTAAATACCCTCCAACTTTTGCCACAGTTCCTTGGATGTATTACAGTTCTTTACCTGTTTGATTCTGAGGGGCTTATTGACAAAATTATGTCCGACATCGCCTTGCTGTCACCTTTAGTCCAGGCTTCTACAGCTCTCGTGGATGCTTCGTCCCCATCATCTATCCGTGGCTGCTTTATCTCGCCAGATACATAACTCCAGTGATCGTTTCTTACCAGCAATGCCCTCATCTGTATTTTCCACGTGTCGTAGTTATCCCTGCTAAGCGAGTCTATACAGGATACTTTTGCCACACTCATGTTTGATAACACTAGTCACACACTTCCTATATTATTATCTTCAGCACTTGCAATAATTGTTCAATGTCCGTAGCACTGTCTCTGGTCACGTAACCTGTTGAGGATAGGTAAGCAGAGCAATTCAACTCGCAGTGGTCTTCGGTTCAGAACAGTTTATTCAGTACTTGTACATGAATGGGTAGATAAGCTACAGGTGTAGACCGGGCTTCCGCGTTCCGCGATCCGCGCGCGTGTGCTGGCTGCTGTTGTACTTCGACTGCTTCCCACGACTGACTCTTCACAGTGTTGCCAGACGAATTCTGCTAAAAATCCCTAACATTCTATTTTTTCTCCCCTAGAATTCCCTAGATTTTTATTTTCTAAGTCTACCCTATTTTTCTGTCTACTCGCCACCCCCAATTTTGTATTACATATTGAATTCATAATATGGTTTAAAAAAATATATTAAAAATTACATTTAAAAATAAAACTTTATTAGATAAAAAACGGAATTTTCTTAATTATCTAACTTAAAATAACACTACTTGCCACTAATCTTTTGAGTACAAATTTTTTTGGCTCATTAGTTTAAGATGCTCACTAGTTACTTTAAATAATAATAATAATAATTTTATTAATTATTTTGTTTCTTTTTTCTTGTTTTCGTAGAGGGTTGATCCCTACGATTTTAAAATATATCAGCTATTGATTACCTATAATATATTATGCAACTTACATTTGATCAGAATCGGACTCCATCATCACAAAACTAACTTAAAAACTTTGAACAAAGATTCTTTTTAATTTGACCGTCCTAATATTCACATTAAACGCACTCAAAAACCTCGCTTCACACTTTAATATTGAACTGGGTATGCGTAATACAGTCGTCGGTGGCGGCAGGTGGCGGAGAACTTATCGGTGATTCACGATTCACACAGAAGTACAGAAGATGTACAGTGTAACCAACCTTGTAATTAGCAAAGCTGTATACTGTTTTATTTAACAATTATGTTAACAGGGTCCGTTTATGTTTTTGCAATATAGATTGGAATTTAATTATTCATTAATCTTTTTTTTGAAACGGTAAAAAATCCCTAGAATTTCCCTATTTCCCTAAAAGTCCCTAGAACTAGAAAACATCGTAAATTCTCCCTAGAACTAGGGAGACTTCCCTAGAAATGGCACCACTGACTCTTCACGACTGACAGCATTCCGAGGTGCGGCGCGCGGGGACAGGACGGCGGTTACAAGCTTCTAGGTTAGGCAACCTGTCTGGTTGTCTCGCCAGTAGCGGCGCGGCGGGGTGACGCTAGTACGCGTTCCAACAATTATAGCTATTATTATTATTATTATTATAATTATTATTATTATTATAGCTATAATTATTAAATAATATAATAAATTATTATATAATTATTATTATTAGTATTATTATTATTATTGTTATTATTATTATTATTATTATATATTACTATTATGATTGTTATAATTATTATTATTATATTATTATTATTATTATTATTATTATTATTATAATTATTATTATTTTATGTATTATTATTGTTATTATTA